CTGAACTGAGATGCAGGCTCAGAGATGACACAATCATGCAAATCCTGGCGCTTGGTTTTTGGCTGTATTCACCATTGTCTGACAAAGATCAGCCTCTGCTGTCACCTATCACTTTGTCACTTGCTACAAAGTTACAATGCTACAGTCTAATCACTGGGGGGGGCAAGGCATTGACCCTCCATTGGTGTCACCCGGGTGCGGACTGTCCCCTCCACAACCCCCTAGAAACACCACTTAGTGGGGTACAATCAGGGTTCTGTGAAGGCCACTTGAGTTCCACCACACCAAACTCATGGAACCATGTCTTTATGGAGCTGGCTGAGTGCACAGTGGCACAATCATGCTGGAACAGTAAAGGGCCTTCCATAAAGGTTGGAAGTGCACAAATGTCTAAAATGTATTTGGATGATGTATTAACATTACCATCTATTGGAAGCACCTGAACTAAATAATGTGGGGTAGAGGGGGGGTGATATGCTTTCTCCTGCCTGTAGCAGACTGGTGACATCATCTCGGCAGGCAGAATTATTGGAATAGACTGGAGCCTAAGAACTGCTTTTTAATTATAAAAGACGCAGCTTTTTAAAATACACTTTTGTTATATATTGGGACATGTCAGATTGATGCATGCTTGTAAAGGAACGGAGAGTTCCACTTTAACAAGTGTCAGCTTTGCTGGCAAATACAAGAAAAGAAGGCATGCAGTATGATCTGTTGGCAGTTTGACAAATGAACTGGCAGCACGGACTACTATTACACAGAATGCCACTGGTGTTTTTTCCTCAGAGTAAATGAATTGCCCAGAAGTGAATACATTTCATCTTTTCTTGCAATACAAGAAAAAAAATCAGGCTGGCAGTGTCTTCTGTTATCAATAAAACAAGTGCACTGGAACTGTGGGGGTGAGGATATGTCTGAAATACTACTGCAGAATGCCACAGGCATTTAGCGCAGCAGTCTTCCATTTCTCCTAACTATTATGTATTGTTTAAAGCCCAGATGGAGAATTTAGTCAGAAACACTGTACTAACAACATCCATGTTCACAGTATTACTCCACTTTCTTGTTACAACCGTTGTGTAGGGTGTCTAAATATGTCTGTGCAGTCCTATAGACACCAGTGCTGTCCCTTGTACTTTGTAATCTAATAGCCCTAGTCAGACATACCCTCTCTTGTGCCCTGCAATGCAAGCCTGCAGGAGGGCGCTTGTGATGAGGGGTGTGGCTATTACTCAGCTCTGCCAGCACAGAGCACAGTAGCTGGAGGACAGGAAGCCGCAAATATTAGTGAAAATCAGTTTAAAATCATAACATACATCGGCACAGGACTACAAAAAGAAATACCTGGGCAGCACAGTTAAAGTTCCTAACAGCCCCTACTATGCTCCCCTACCTTTCAGCCCATCACTGCAACGCATGACACAATCAGGCTGTTCTGAGTGCTTTGGCTTTTATATAGGGGTATGACCATTCACTGTACTGCTTCTGATTGGTTTTTGCAGATGGGGGAAAATCTGTTTTCTGTGTCAAAAGATGGAGTGATGGGGCAGGTTCGCCGGTGTAATAACAAATGCACACAGGGCGACATACGGTGCTAATCCAATGTGACATGTACACGGTAAAATCGGAACCAGAGCTCTCCGATTGTTAGGGTTCCACTCTGACTTAATAACTGGTTTGCAGCATTCTGTCTTGGCTGCCATTTTACCCACCTGTGATTTCTCCTTTGTCTGAGCAGGCTCCCTCTTATGGCCAAACAGGAGAGCATCATCTGAGAGAGCCAGTTGGGAGTTTCCTGTCTCAGAGTGATGATGTCACTCCACTTACTATATAAACCACTCAGTCCAGTCTGACCTTGCGTGGTCTTACCTGCTAGTGCATTCCTGCTGCTCTGAGTATGACCCCTTCCTGGCTGATGGTCTCCTTTGGTTCCTGCTCCTGGCTTGTTCCTGACAATGCTGATCTCTGTGCTCCTGGCCTGGCTTGTCTGACTACCCACTCTGGCTCCTGACCTTGGCTTGTTCCTGTTTATGATTTTTGCTTTCTACTGTGGACCCTTTTCTTAATAAAATATTTTTAACTAGCACCCATGCTTGTCTGGTTTTCAATGTGCTCTGACACCAATTAGCAGGGAGCGTGAGCTTTTCTGGTTGCGGAGCTATAGGTCTGCCTTTATATTTAGGCAGCAAGTGAACATTTTGTCCCGGAAGTTGATGTGTTGGAAGCAGAGAAAATGGGCAAGTGTTAGGATTTGAGTGACTTTTACAAGGGCCAAATTGTGATGCTAGACAACTGGATCAGAGCAACTCCAAAACTGCAGCTTTTGTGGGATGTTCTCGATTCTGCAGTGGTCAGGACCTACTAAAAGTGGTCCAAGGAAGGAAAACCGGTGAACTGGTTACGGGGTCATGGGTGGCCAAGGCTCATTGATGCACGCGGAGATCAAAGGAGCCCCCACCTTGCAACTTATAGGACTTAAAGGATCTGCTATTGATGGCTTGGTGCCAGATACCACAACATACCTTCAGAGGTCTAGTGCGGTCTATGCCTCGATGGGTCAGGGCTGTTTTGTTGGAGAAGGGGTACCAACTAAGTATTAGGCGGGTGGTCATAATGTTATGTCTGATCAGTGTATAAAGAGTACACAGTAGAGTTAGTGACATCTTTCTTTATGGTTTTGCAGCCTGGACCTAGTTCTTTTAAGACATAGTGCTGTATGCAGAAAACTCTGGAGGCAACATAAGCTGCCCTGGTCAACGGGGAAAACCTAGGGGGAATGGATCCATCTATCCCAGCCCCTCAACGCTGTAGGAGGATCACCACTGTCCCTGTTTTTTTCTAGCACCATTGAGGCGGAGAGAGGAAAAATCAGTCTAGCTAATCTCTTCACATGAGCGGTTGCTGTAATTTCCAGGCCGTTTCTGTCGCGCTGTGTGGATGCGCAGTACATGGATAAATCTACATCCCGACAAGCTTTTGATTAGGAAATAATTGCAGCAGCTGTAGCTTATTATGAGCTTTTTTAATGAATGTAGCTTGCTTTATCTAGGCTGGAATTTCACCTCAGATTAATTATTTCGAGACAAATTAACTGCACTTAACCGTCTGCCTAAGTAACACAGAGACTTGAGGCTGCAGCAGCAGGGGGTGCACACATGTACGACAGGGATGATGCCTGTTCTGAATAATTTCAGGCTCGGCAAAGTATGTGAAAAGGGCATTATTATTTACTGTTCTGTTTCAATTAAATCTCTCCTGGGAAGGTAGGACAGAATTGCCATTATTACTATCGCTATTTTTTTTTTTTTTTTAAAGAGATGCAATTAGGACTGCTAGATCTTTGTTGCTTCAAGCCCTGGTACAGGGGTGACAATAGCTGGAAAAATGCCCATTTATAGGCTCCTATTTTACTAGGTACAAGTAAAGGGTAACTCTCCTTTGTAGGGGCTTCATCTGTTTTGTCATCAACTGTTATCTGATTTTTAGCAAGTCTTCCCAAAGGGCTTTTTTTGGAATAGTTTTAGTAAAGTTGAACAAGGCTGAATGCCCTGTTGGGTCTTTATCTTTACCATGCTCCAAGACCCCAACAGGTTACTGGTTTACACCATAGTTCACCTGAGGTATCAGTTTGTCCCTTAAAGGTGAAGTTCTTTAAAAATCACTCTCTGTTTGCCTGAGGACGGGACCGCATGGTCTCGAAATGTCGCTAAGGAGATGTGTGTTATCTCAGTCAATAAACAGCATTGACTTTAATATCATGGAGTGCGAGTGACTACTTTAATCTATCTACATTTCACGGAGGCATCCGTTGTCACCACCGCACCCACCCAGTTGGATTTGGGTTTTTGTCCGGTCAGGAGTGCGATCGGACAGGAGGATTACGTTCTTTAAAAACAGGTTTCATGATAGGAGGTAACATGATATGGGTTGCATGCAGACGTACTGTTAGACTGTACAGTTCACCAGTCAAGAAACTGCTGATTAAGATGTTAGAGCTGCATTTTACTTGTGCTATAGAGAGTCTTGTAGCTTCTCACAGGGATGTCGCACTCAAGACATCTGTGGGTACTAATCTGTGCTTATATCTCCTTCACACACCATACCCATAGTTAGTCGGGTGTTGGAACAGCTGGTGGATGGCACCACATCAAATTAATAAAAGACATGAGTGGTGCAGATATCATATCTTTTATTATTCTTTGATGAGGATACTAGCCTACCTGGCATCAGTCAGCTGAGTTTCCAATGTTCCAATTCAAAAGACAGCGTTTTCTGAGTTTTCACATTGAAACCGCTGACATTGTAGGCAAGGCCGTCCCTACACTATATCCTGCCTGAGGCCATAGATTGGGGAAGGCGAATTGGTGCTGCTAATAGTGCTTCCCTGTTTGGGAAGGGAATCCCGCTTAGTTCCCTGACAACCAGTGAGGTCAGTGAGCTGGGTGAGAAGTCTGACCAAGCGTCACAGATTATCCCTTTTGCAGATTACCACACACACCTGCCGCCCCCCCCCAATGAGATGCCGCCTGAAGTGACATTATAGGGACGGCCATTATAGGCCTTGACTGTAGGCTACATAATACATAATTTCTTTCTGTCGCTTTAGTGTTAGTGTTTCTTTTGTGGTCTACATACATGAGCATGAAGCATCAGTAGGATTTTCACTGTAAACTAATCTTATAATGTGCTTTGCTTCTGGACTTATTGCTGGAGCATTATTCTTGAATCATGAAAGGTTGAAGAGTACAAGTGAAGGAAGTAAAGCTGTACAGATAGCTGACACAAAGCACATAGGATAAATGACATATTAGAGAAGTACATGATTGTAGGTAATCAAATATCATTTTTACAGAGTATGAAAAGACTTGTGGTAACTGACAAGCATTCTTTGCAGCACTCTAAGAATTTTCTTGCAATATTTTTGCTTGCTTTGAATTTCACGTTTAAATATTTAATGCTTCCAATTCAATCTCACTGATATTCCTTTTTTATGAATACAGAAATTTGATGCCTCGATCCGTGGACAGACAGATCACTGTGGAGAAGACCCCCAGCTATTTTGTGACAAGGGAGGCTCCCCGCAGAATCTCACATATGTCGCCTCGGGTCAAGCTGATAGTGGTGGTTCGCAACCCTGTGACCCGTGCAATCTCAGACTATACGCAGACGCTTTCCAAGAAACCGGACATCCCAAGCTTCAGTGAGCTAGCCTTCCACAACAGGACGACTGGGGATGTGGATACTTCCTGGAATGCCATTCGGATTGGACTTTACGCTCTGCATCTGCAGCCCTGGCTTAACCATTTCCCAATTTCCCAAATGCACTTTGTAAGTGGAGAGCGACTGATCACAGATCCAGCAGGAGAAATGGCTAGAGTACAAGACTTCCTTGGCCTCAAACGTCTGGTCACAGACAAGCACTTCTACTTCAACAAGACCAAGGGTTTCCCCTGCCTCAAGAAACCAGGAGGTGGGGGAGCACCACGCTGCTTAGGCAAATCTAAGGGTCGGACACATGTGCAGATCAACACTGAGGATATAGAACAGTTAAGAGAGTTCTACAGACCCCATAACATCAAATTCTATGAGACAGTGGGCCAGGACTTCCACTGGGAGTAGTCTCACGAACGAACCAGATAAGCTGGTAGAAAGTGGGAGATAGATGCATGAAAGAACAAAGGGATTAAAAGCTAAAGTTACACAAAGCAAACCAAACTTTGAAGCCAACAATCAGAAAATAAAATACAAGAGATAATTTAAGGAAATGGAAGGTTCATGCAAACAGAGAAGACAGAAAAGTGCTGGAAAGGAGAGATGACATCTTAAAGAAAAGTCTGTTTTCTGTTTGGTGATAAAAACCAAAGTGGTAGTACAGAAGTCTTCACCTTTGCAGACCACTATACAAGGCAGCTGTTCTAAACACTGAGTGGACAAGAAGGAAGCACGTTGCACTTTGCCTTTCCATTACAGGTACCAGAGAAGATATCAAAGCTCTGTAAATGGAGCCCATAGCATCACATATCTCTACAAGCTGGTCTTATGGCAAAGCAACCAGCACCTATCGGGTACCAGCACTGACCTAAAGTGGAAAGAGAGGAAGATTCAAAGGACACAAAACTTCTAGAGAACATGGGGCATTTCTCCCTGGATGTCCATATTGATTGGAAATATATACCAAAATTTACTTTTATATAAAATAATATATATACTTTTACCATGCATAATTCATAGCAGGTTTATTTCACCAGCTGGCTACCCTACATAAAATAGAAGAATCTTTTCGAAATAGAAGTTATGAGATAATGAGCGGTACTGAACCACATTTGTTTTGTAAGGAGGGGGGAAATCATACAAATATTTTAGTTATATGTATGCTTGGTTTGCTTTGCAGACAGGTGTGAGAAAAACTGGACCAAAAATAGCCTATGCACTGTTTTTGATCCTGCATTTCTTTGGTTTTAACCGATTAGATACTGCAACGACAATGAAGCTCTCCAATGGGGCTGAAAGACAGGTCTCAGTATTACCTAGAATGTCTATAGTAAATAGCTGCCAAAGTCCAGGGGCACCTTCCATGCTGAGTCAAGTGTATGTCTAGACAAAATAGAGTGGGCAATGATTAGACCCCCCCCCCCCCCACCCCTTTATTGTTTTTCTCTACTGTTATCCAGGGCACCACTAGAGAGGACATTTTCTTCACTTACCGTTACAATGGCAATGTTTTTTCTACACAGGAAGTAAGATAAAATCTTCTAAAAGCAACTCACACAACAATACAGTAGGGGAAGGTTTGAAATCCCTGTTACTTATTTTTTTTCTTAGTTCAAACAGATGCACCACGCTAATCAACAATCATAATACTTAAATAATAAAGTGCTAGCCATCAAATAATCACATATAACCAATTTAGTTCATAAATACTTATAACTAATACTTATGAACTACATTGGTTATACTGTATGTGATTTATTTGATATCTAGCACTTTATTATTCAAGTATTAAGATTATTGATTAGCACGGTACATCTTGATCTAATTTATTTATTTCATTAGCATGGCAGCTTTTCATCTTTTATATTTGACAATTATTTATTACTTTGAGACAGCTTCCATAGAGCAGAATTTCTTAATGTTCACCTGTTTATTTCTGTTTGTGTCCCTGTTTGAAATTTTTTCCTCACTTCTGGTGAAACCATTGTCACCGTGACAAAGTGAGTGGAAATCTCTAAGATAGCCCCAGATAAGAACCTTTCCCTATCCAAAACTGAAAAATAAAATGTTTTGGCTGGGCAGACACTTTGGGGTTCATTTATAAAAATTCCAGCAGGGCGGACCACTCGCACGGCACTAAAGCCCCTAAAGGCACTGACGAGTATGGGAGATTCCTATACTCGTCAAAGCCATCTAGGGCAGAACTTTTATAGATAAACTCCTTTAACTCCTTGGACTGCACATCTGTATGCCATAGTGTATACCCAGGTTACATATATATATATACATCTATATAGAGAGAGATATCACGGTTGGAAAAGCCCCCTACCTTGACAGAGCTACAACAGTGCAATCAACAGTAATGGGCAGATTTATAAATGTTACTCCAGGTGGATGCTATTTCCATGGCACTAACACCCCTGTATGGTGCCAAGGAGCATAGCAAATGCCTATGCTCCTCAGCGCCACCTAGTGTGAACGGCATCTGCCCAACTATACGCTAAGAGTGTAAATGTAAGTAATCAGCCCCATTGTGAGAGCTTTGCTCATTTTAACACGGTAGCTCTGACATGCCACAGGGTGGGAGAAAGATAACACGGTTCCTTCCCCGATGGTTGCTATTTGAGTTATTGCATCAGAGGCTGGCTCTTTGGGTTTTACAGATTAAAGCCACTGTACAAGAGACCACTGTACAAAGACCGCTGCTGTCACAATGAACACAACGTTTTTTTTTACATTGAAAAGAAAAATAGAGTAAGATGTTTAACACAATAAACATAAGAAGACATAGGTTTTTTCATTAACAAGTAGTAATGCAATTCTACATCTATCTATCTATCTATCTATCTATCTATCTATCTATCTATCTATCTATCAAAAAAATGTGAAAATGCATGTTGCATGAATTTTTCATGCACTCCTATTGAAATATATGGGGCTAAAAATGCAACAATAGAAGCACCTACACTTTTTGCAGAGTCAAGCCCGTGACACACACTGCATGCGAATGCCATGCAGAGCAAAGCAAAAGCTGTCAGGCACGGAGGTTCGCATGCAGTGTGTGAGCTGAGTGCGGCCAGATGAAAGACTGCATCTTAAGCCAATCAGCTCACGCGTAACAACCAAATGGACTTTGCATCGGGTTTATACATGGGAGCCGATTGGCTGAAGATGACATTTTTCATCTCGACATGCTCAGTTATGCGAGCTCTCGCAAGCTGGCGTACTGGAGTGAAAATGACAAAACACACTGCACGCGAAGGCAGCACGCCACTGTTTGGCGCTGCTTTGTGTGCAGTGTGTCACAGCCTTCACTCTGCAGTGCAATGCATAGCTAAGAATGGACCCTCATAGAAAATAATGTGATTCCTTTTGTTGTGCAATGTCGCGTGATGGCGTAAAGCTCATTCACTCGCAAGGGTTGGAGTGGGGCTTAAACAAGAACATATTCTGTGTGAAAGTTTACCCTTATTGCTTTGGCCAAAATACCTTGTGTATCTACAAGCACAATCAAGGGAAATCCTTTGTCATATGTACGTTGTAAATAGATAGAAGAAAGATAGAAGATAGATAGATAGATAGATAGATAGATAGATAGATAGATAGATAGATAGACAGACAGATAGATAGATGTAAAACTGAACATCATTGTCCCTGATTCATCAAGCTACAAATAGCACTTAAAGGATCAGTTCACCTTTTGCAAAAATTAAAGAAATGCATAATTAATTATATGTTTAAAAAAATATGCATTTCATTAATATTTGCATTCAAGCCTGGAAAGCATTGAAATTGTGATAACTCGATCACAGCTGCAAAGCTCAGGCTTCTGCACATTCTCTCACAGGCAAAGCTTGTACTAAGGTGCAGTGTTTAAGTTAGGAAAGATGGGGAAGGACGGCTGGACTTCAAACTGCATTAAATCACCTCATACGGCATCCAGCCGTCTTTTAAGCTTCATAAATCAGGGTCATTATGTGAACAAAAGTCCCAAACGTAGGGAGTGCCCCTTAAAATGGCTTCTGCCAGTTATATAATAATGGTGGTAAACATTGATCTATTCTTCCCATCTGTAGATTCTGGGAGTTTACTGTTGCCTGACACGGCACTGGTCATTTGTACAAATTCTAAATATATCATCTCTGCTGTAGCCCTGGCCTGTCGGGCGCTCACAGGTAAACATAAAATGCATTTCTTTATTTATTGTTTGAAGGAAACAAAATGTTAAAAATGATAAACTCAAAATGTCATGTCTTTAGAACTGTGTTAAAATTAAGATTCTCCAGTGTATAGGAGACGTTTCAATGTACCCATTCCCCAATTCTGCTACTGTCACCTCGAAAATCCTAGTACTTCCAGGTATGGATGATCATGTGACTTCCCTGGTGCCCTCATACTGTACAGCACACTTGGTACCTGAGCAGTCAATCACCGCACATGAGATGGAAGGGCATGGCTAGCAGCGTGCAGGTAGGTACTATCAGGGTAGGTTTGGCACTTGCCTAGAACCTTAGCAGATGCTGCAGCGTGGACCAGAGTAGTAGACTGGCATCTAAAAAGAAAGTCAAGGCACCAAAGAGTGACAGCAATACACTGGGGACGGGATAATCCTTTTAACACAGATTTGCTTTAAGGGAATTTATTGACCAAATGACTTGAATTTAGTGGCTTATATTTGCCCTCCACTAACATTCATTAAACTTTACATTCTCTGCCTAGCTTCCGTCTCTTCATTTCAACAAAGTCGTTGTATGGTTGAGCCGTTATTAACCACTTCACATCTGGAGCAATTTCTTTAGTGTTTGCACACAAGTTATAATCTGAATTTTGGGCTAGCAGACTGCTTAAATCCCCCAAATAGTTATGTATTTCTGAAAGCAGAGTCCCTGTAGAATAAAAAAAAATGCTAGTTGCAATTTTTTAAGTTGTACAATATTTCTGACTTTACCGTTTATCAGTTTAGAGTGATGGCCTTAGAATTGCTCTCACTTTGGCATTCCCAAAAGTGGGGCATTCTATTAGACCCCTAATGTCACCTATTTGCCCAAAAGAAGCTGGTGAAGTGCAGATTGTGCTTCGCCAGCTTCTTCTACGCCTGCAGCAAGAGAAATGGCAGCCTGAAACCGGAAGTGACAACATCTATATCGCTTTTTCAGTTTCAGTGATTGGAGGGGAGGTCAGCCACTGGAAGTGTGCTGATTTCTCTCTGATCCAGCTGCCAACACCCGCTGTCTGGTCCCTAGCCCTCACAGGCATCAGCGGCCTGGCATAGCTTGCAGCACAGAGCAGCTGCAGCTGCAGCAGCAGCCATGCTCTTGGTATAACCCCTTCAGGACCGTGCCATTTATATACATATTGCGGCCCTGAAAAAAATGTAAAAAATGTGGACTTTAAATGTACAACAATCATCTTGAAATGTTTATAAAATGTTCACTTAAAATCTAATAAAAATGAGTATATGTATCCATATTGATCCAGCATTCAATCCTCCACCTTTGGCCCATCAAT